GGAGCGACACGAGAGCTTCTTGAAGAAAAACGCGGCTCTCTGTATCGGTTCCCGACGGGAGATCGTAACCGTTGATTGAGCCGCGCCAATATTGCCTGGGCGAGTTGCAACTCGTTTGAATCGAAGCAGTCTGCTGCTCGAATCAGCTCCTCTATGAAATCAAATCCCACGTTCAGATTACTAAAACCATTGAAATTGTTGCACAGATGATCAAGAGAGTTTAATCCGTAACCTGAATTCTGGTTAGAGTACACATCTTGAAGATTAATATCTGCATGATTAACCAACTGCGGATTACTATCGAACTGCTGAGAAGCAATGAAGTCGGTGAAGTGAGAGACGACTTGATGATGATCGCTGCAAGGAGTTAACTGAGAAACACTCCTCAAATTAGTTGCAGAGTCATCATCCAACCCCAAATCCCTCATGATTGAATCCCAATCCATATTCCGCAGGACATGTTCATCCCATTCGAGAGACTGATGAGATGGGTCTGCAGCCGCGACGCCCGAAATCACATCGGTAGTCGGCGCCGGCTTTTCCGTTGCAGGACTGGGACTCCCTCGAAGATCAAGGACCGATGTGGGCTCATAGCAGGAAGTGGGATTGCTGTGAAAGCCGAGATTTGGGGCCGGATTGGCGGAATTGTTGGTGTTGGGTTTAGGAGGTTGATTGGTCTGTGGAGATGAAGTAACAGGGACTCTCATAGCTGAAGAAGAGAAAGAGAGAGGGAAGAACAGAGCACACCCAAGGTACGTCTCTGTGGCTCTTTTTCCTCTCGTGTGTGTTTTGGTTATAAATTTGAAAATGGGGAAGATGGTGGGGGTGGGTTTTTTTAGTGGGAGCTTTTGGGTGTTATGATTGATAGCTTTTTTATCTTTGCGTGTGTGTGCATAGAGTCTATGGACATGGACATGGACATGGACATGGACATGGACATGGCCATAGTCGACACGAGTCAGGCTCTGCCTTTTTTTATCTCTTTGAAGCTTCTTGTTCAAGTTTCAAATAAATATTAATTTACTTTAATGATCTGTTTAATCATGTTTTAATCTTTATTTTCTTCAGCCTTTTGGAAGGTTCTTGTTGATTTTTCAGTCGTATATTGTAGACTGAGCTCGCCTAAACTGTCTGGAGAGTCCAAAAGAACAGGCTTATCGTTAATTTGGATCTTTAAAGATTGATGCATGTATTGAAAATATTCAGGGTCCAAGTAAAAATAATTAAGAACTTAAAAAGAGTTGTCAATCATGCACTTCAAATTCTATTTTTGTAACTTTTATTTTATAAAAAAAAAATTATATTTATGAGTTTTATAACTCATTTATAATTTATAATTCATGAATAGATATTTCTCAATTTAAAATAAAATAAAAAATTATAATACCATAACCTTTTATTTAGTAATTAATAATTTATAAATTCTAGGCAATATTCAATTCAATACATACTCTTCTATGTTGCTCCCACTAGTTGAAAATTTTACTTTTGAAATGAAAATTAAACTCAAATTGTTAAAGTGTAAATTATATTTTCTTATCAATCATATGTTGAGAAACCATAAAAAATAGTATATGAATTTAGTTTCTAACCTTTTCAAACAAATTAGTTTTTAACTTTTTAATAAGTCATCAATTTTATATATATATATATATATTTATATTTAAAATCAATTATTAAGTTAACTTATGTTTTAAATAAACTAATTTTTAGGTTCATCATCAACACGGGCTAAAAATTAATTACATGATTGTCTCATGTATTAATTTAATTTATTTAAAATTTATCTGATTTTAAAAATTCAAACCATACTTACTAAGAAGTATCTCTTCTAGCTAAACTCTATATATTAAAATTTAAATATCTAAAAAATCTTATACTAATATCAGAAAAATATCAGGAAAAATATTTATTTCAATGCTAATTATGTAAATATCACAGTTTACATGTATATAAAAACAAGTTAAATGTAACATTCAGCCTTGAAAATTTAATCCTGGATAATTTTACATTAATAAAATAATATATTAAAATAATTTAATTTTTATTAAATTTTTTGAGAAAAATTAGAATTAGAGATGAAATTGAAAACAATTTTGGGAAAATGGATAAAACTGTGAATAATGAGGAGTGTTTTTAAAAGATAAATTTAAAATAAGGGGTAAAATTGTAAAACGAAAAAATACGGTCGCGTGGAACAACCACGTCAACAGCACCGCGAGTCAGAACGCGTTGCGTGGCGGACACGCTGACACCGGCTCCACGTAGGAGCCACGCAGGCGATCCGCGTGCCTAGGCGATCCGATAGCCCAGATCGCATCTCGCATGCGCGAACGATCTAGATGCATTTTCTCTTCAGGCGTGATCGAACGATCATATTCAATCTCCGAATAAGAGAGATCCAACGGACAAGAGAATGTCACGTGTCCCTGCACAAACGGCCCAGATCGACTCAGGGAGGGTATTTAAACTTCACATTCTAGAAAATCCTAACCCTAACCGCACTAGTTCACGCCGGAGAAGAAGAACAAGGGCAGTCAGAAAGAAACTAACCACCATTACCGCCATACTAGAGCCATCATCGATGTCGAAAAGGTATTTTTTTTTCTCCTTCTCGTTCGAAATTCAATTCTAAACCTACCCACACCCATATCAAAGTCAAAAGGTCATGAGGTAAGCTGAAAACCGTGAGTGGAGTTTGGCCGAGTCGCCACGGATGCAACCCAAAACCCCTCCGATGAGCCGTTTTTCATTTTCTATCTCCTTTGATTCTTTGACCTTTGTGTTTTTCATCTTTTTCTGGTACATGTTAGTCGAAGAGAAGCCCCAACCGCGAGAGAGGAACGGTGGAGCAGCTGTACCGGAAAACTCCTCCGCCGGTAAAGTCTTAGTTTTGTACCTTTTCGGGCCAACAGAGGTCCCCTAACTTGATTTTTCGTAGGTTTTCATGTAAAACCAGTCAAAATTGGCCTAAACTAGCTAAAAACGATTGGCTAAGAGGAACTGCCGCTGTGGGCGGAGGAGCTGGTGCCGGAGCACGGTGGCAGCGTCGTGGTAAAACCCTAAATTGGTTGAAAAAATTTAAAAACATCTATTTTGGCCTTTTGATGTATTTTTGGATATATGAAGGGTATTTTTAATTTCCGCAGGAAAAATTTAGAAAATCTGGGGACCACCAATAGGCGTAGTGAAAAATACGGTATTTCATACACCAATTTGAGGTAAGAATCTCTCACTTTTTTTTTTTCGTTATGGTAAATTAAAGTTTAATAATCGATAACATTGTGTTTTGTAAAAATTAGAAAAAAAAATCTTAAAATTAATTACATGTCACCAGTGGAGCCAGAATCTGTCAGTGTATAATTGCCCTGCCTTATTCGTGTTGCCTATTTATTTTTTTATACTGTCTAAATTGTTTATTGTTACACCGTGTGTTTTAAATTGTAAATTTTAATTGCTTTCTTGTTTATTGATTGCTTAACCATTATTTTTATCTGTTGACTGATTTGAAATAAATATCCTAATTACGTTTATTGATTGTTAAAGTATAAATTTGTATTATTTGCTTAAATGTTGTCCTATTAATATGTAAATATGAAATGAGATGTTGTTATGCGATTAATGATTAGTTGATGATGTGAATCTATGTATGAAAGACTTATTGGGTACCCTGGAAAAGGGTGGACGCGCCGGATAAATAGGGTGTAATACTTGAGCCCGAATTTTGGTCCAGAATTAATTTTAATATTTTAAAATTTTATTTTAATTTTTTTGTTGAATTATGGAAAAAAATAGGTTAGGAATGAAATTTAAAATAATTTTGAGAAAAAAGGTGAAAATTTTGGTCCGGATGGTGTTTTCAAAAGAAAAATTAGAAACTAGGGATCAGAGTGCAAATAAGGAGAATTTTGCTACGTAGAACTGCCTAGTCAGCAATCTTGACGAACTGGAGTACGCTGCGTGGCAAAGCACGCTGACATGGGATGCCATGCGGGTAATCTGCATGCCCTGCGATCGAACGACCCAGGGTTGATCCTGCATGCGTGGACGGTCTGGATTTGTTCTCCCTTTAAATGCAATCGGACGGTCGAGATCAAATCGCGATGAACGGTTCAGATTCATTTCTTCTTTAAACGTGATCAGACAGTCGAGATCAAATGCGATAAATGGTCCAGATTAACACGAGAGGGGTATAAATATTTGGCATTACGCTGAATTCAAACCCTAGCTGCCAGCCTCCCGCTGGAGAAGAAGAACTAGGCGTTGGAGAATGGAGCCGACCGCCGACAGCCATCGCACCAGAGCTTCCTCTGATCGCCAAAAAAGATAAAAATTCTTCTATCCACTCATAATTTGATTTAGAGTACCCCCATGGCTAAATCAGAGCAAAAAAAAAAACAAAAAAACAGTGAGTGAGCCGAAAACTGCAGATAAAGTCAGGCGGCACCGCTGCAGGCAAAACTTGCAACCTCCTCCGATGATCTCTTTCTGTTTTCTGTTTCGTGCGATTTTTCTACCGTTGTATTCACCGTTCTATTTTCTACAGGTTGACCGAAGAAAAACTCTCAGTCGCGAAGGTGAGCTGGCGGAGCTGTCGCACCTGGAAAACCCCACTACTAGTAGGTTTTTGTTTTCTAGTTTTTTTCGGCCAACTGAGGCCCCCTAACATGTTTTTTTTACAGAGATATGTATAAATTGGCCGAAACTGGCCAGAACTGACTGAAAACGGCTAAGCTAAGGTAAACCGTCAATGTGGGCAGCGGTGCTGTCGTTGAAGCACGACGGTGCCACTGTGTCAGAACTTCTAAATTGGTCGGAAAGGGTATTTTTCACCGATTTTAGATTCCTATGGTATTTTAAGTACGTGACAAGTGTTTTGGATTTCGTAAGGATAATTCAGGAAACCTGGGGACCATCGGTAGGCGCAGTAGAAAGTTCAATATTTTGGACACCGATTTGGGTAAGGATCCCTCATCAATTTTTCCGTTATGATAAACTGAGGCTTAATAATTAATAATTGTATATTTTTATGAAAAGTTAGAAAACCTTAAAAATAATTACATGTCATTAGTGGAGGCAGAACCGGTTAGTTCACAGTCATTTCGATTTCCTATTTATTTTTCAATATTGTCTATAGTTGTTTACTATTATATTGTGCATAACTCAATTGATGGTTTTTAGGATCTTTTTAGTTATTTTGTTATTTGTTTCCCCTACATTGTGTGCTGGTATTTGGGTCATTAGTTATTTGACGGTGTAAAACTATATTGTTATTTAAATGAATGGTGAGTATAAAATGAGATATGGTTATTGCATGGTTGATTATTATGCTGATGGAAATCTGTATAGAAAAGACTTACTGGGTACTCGGGAAAGGGCAGACGGGCTCGGTACATAAGGAACCTTACCGTAAACATTACCTCAGTCGGACAGGGTTGGAAAGTCCTTTACTAGCAAGGTTTGGGAGATATAGTTCACCTTCATACTGGACGAGGTATCGAGGTGGTGGCATGTTTGACGCCTATATCGGACGGGATATGGGGGTGGTCGGTTAACTATTTAATTGGATATTGAGTTCACGAGCAGGTGGATATCTCTGTAGACCCCCAGGGGTACCGATAAGCGGGTAAAAATGTAAAATGATTGTTTCTTGTTATCTTTTATGTGATAAATAATAGTGCTTGAGTATGAGTTTTCATAAGTTATTGTTGAGAGAGACTTGTTACATAAATATGAAATAAATGGCTTCATTTATAGTAAATGAATTTATAATAAATTAAGGGCTCCATTAATTATTTTTCTAATTTCTACCAATTTTCAATTTTTCGTATATGTGATTAGTGTG